CAGGAAAGACTCTCCCAACACTTAAAAGAAATAGTTGTTATTTATTGCTCTTTTCTCTTTTATATTTCCAGGAGACTGATTTACAGCTCTAAGGCTTTATGGCTCTTGAATGACTTCATGACTGTGGTAGAAAAGCAACCTGTGGAAACTCTGTGTCCTACCATAACCCAAAGGGGAAGGCTACATTGCCCAGGGCTCCAGCCTGTTTGGATAGCGGTTGTACATAAAAGATGATGGGACTAGGGAACTTTAATGTATATTCATCAGGCAATCTTTGAGTTTCTGGGAAGTGACTAATGTGACTTTCTGGGGCAGATTTCATACACCAAAATGTAGTAAATAGTCTCCTACTGCTTTGGGCATACTTACAACTGTCAGAGTGTTGTGATGGCATTGTAGATAGCTACTTCTTGTGCCAAAAGCAGCCTAGATACAGCAGCAATGACTGCAATTCAGGCTAAGTCCTAAATATTTATTGGCTTCCTGGGTAGATTTTACAGCCTTCATTGAGCTCCAGGCTCCTGTGGCCAGGCTGCTGTCAGGATGAAAGGTAACTAGTGTAAAGAAAGCTCAGGTGTGTCTATGCTTCACTCACAACACTGACAGCAGCATAAAAGCATCAGTTAGCATTCCTTCAGTTTGCATCACTTTGGGTCAGGTGCCGTCTGTCAGCCACATATAAACCAGAAACGTCGCCAGTAAAAATAGTATGTGTTTTATTAAAAGTCAGGAAAATACAAACAGTTGCCTTCATGTTTCTCAAAGATAAGCCATTTTATCCAGAAAGTGGTGTTTGTGTCCTATGGACAAGCTTCCTTCTCCACTATGCCTCTGAAACATGAGGAAGAGTTTGCCTCGGGCACTAAAAGACTAGAAACTATTCACAGACAGTAAGATTTGTAGGGAAGAGTCAGGATCTTGCTAGTGGCACAGTAGCAGCAGCAGAACAGGATGGGCAGGAGTTTGAAGAGCAGTACAGCAAATGTGACTGAACAACTCTAACCATAACACTTTTCTTCTTCTTAGTGAACTCCTGTTTTAAAATCACTTTGGAATTTGTTATTAGTTGCTTTGCAGTAGAAGAGCAAAGTGTTAGTTCAGCTGTAAATGAACATGGTTAACATCAAGACTGCAATCTCTCTCCATCCTCAAGCATGTGGTATGACCAAGTTTGTTCCACTGTGAGAGCATGGTTGAGTGCATCCAGCTCCCTGCCCTGTGCTGTGGGGTCAGATTTAAACTCTCCGTGATTTCCTTCATTTGTTACTGGAACTTGAGATACAGTAATTTGTGGTAGCAACCAAAGTAGCAGTTGTGGATTGCAGTTTTCACTCATTCTGACTGGTACCTTCCTCCTTCTCTTTCTTTCTTGATCATGCAGCATTGAACACTATTTACTCAGCTGTGGCCTGGAGACAGGAAGGAGCAATGTGGTCGTGCACCAAAAGTACCCTTGTTTATTCCAAGCAGCTCTTGGCAGACAATATGGTGCATGGGCAAATGTAAATTTTTGCATGGTCTTCATTGACCTTGCAGAGGGGAATAGGAAAACAGTCATCGTGGCAAACTGTGGACACCTCCTAAGGCCTGTGGTGATCCCCCTTCCTGTGTAATAGGTACCCATCTGTAGCCCGAGGAACTGGTAGGATTTATCGGTCAGGCGCCTGGGGTGTCTACAGGCTGAGCTGTGCATGAGCTCCTGCATGCGTCAGGGGCTAACTTGATGCTGTTTCTCCAGGCATAAGAAGCAAAGGGCTTCTTCTTTCAGGGAAAAGTCTTCTCTGCACCATGCCAGCTTTGTGTGCAGTTCCCATCTAAATCAACCATTTGCTCCAAGACTGAAACTGCAGTTAATTCCACTTGTATTTTAACTTTGCTCTCTGATCCCTCAGTGACATGGGTTAGTGGTGGTCTTGGCAGTCCTAAAATAATGGTTGGACTTGATGATCTGAAAGGTCTTTTCCAACCTACTTGATTCTATGATTCTATGTGCTGGCTGGAGAGGTCTCTGCCACCGTTTGCCAGCCTTTCTGAGCAGACTTCTACTTTTGCTCTATGTTGTCCTGTTGGTTTGTGATGGAGGAGTAAGGATGATGCTGTGAGTGGGTATGAAGAGGGAGGACAAAAAGACACTGTAAATTATTGTACGTTTTAAGTGTGTCATTTCTAGCAAGGGAGAGATCTCCATGCCTCAAAAGTAATGCTTGCTACAGCCCATGAAAAAAGTGCAACCTTCTCAGGGAACCTCATCCTCAGAAAAACCCTTAAAGTCCTTCACCTTCAGGGGGAGCAAAGAGAAGACTAAGACTGAGAATTAATGAAAATTGGCTTTGCTGCTGCAAGTGGGCAGATTATCCTCCTAGAGCCTGTCTGAGCTGAATGCACGAGAGGTGCTTTGTACACTGCTGGACACCACGGTGAAAATCTAAAGGGGATCAAAGCAGAGCAACAGATATGAATGGGGGAGGGAGGGAGGGATGTAGAGGGTAAGATACACTTAAAGATGTTTAGTTATCAGTTCAATAGATTGGATAAAATACAGTATGCAGAAAGAGTTACTGTCATCATCTCTTGACAAATGAAAGGAAAAAATAATGGAGAGCAAGAGGTTTAAGGGTGCATAAACAGGAATTTGAACTTAAGCAAACAAAAAAATGTAAATGGAGTTTTGCATAAAGCTTCCCAAGACTCCTTCAGACCAGATTCATTAGACAAAGATGAGAGGTTTAATTCCCAGCATTATTCACAGTTACATTTGGAAATCCTTGAAGAGCAGTTGGAAGAGGTCCATGCTGTTGTCCTCTGCAATTATGAGAAAGTGCTTGTTTCAAAAGAGCCTTTATATGCCCAACTCCTTTGTTTTCCTGTAACCTACTTCCTATGTTGAGCCTCTTGAAGATGATTTTATGGAACCTGCTTGTACCTTACACAGAAAGGTACATGCAAGATAGAAGTTAAGAGTTTTCTTAACTGATGACCAGAATCTCTGTTGCTGTAAGTGACTGTTGAGCTAACAAAATACCACAGAAGAAAAACTTCTTTCCTCTATGAAAGAGAAAGTGAGCTGAAGATTCAGTTAAAAATGTGCATCTTCCTGCTCGTGATAAGTGGGACTTTTAAAATAATATCCTTTTGCAGTTTTACATAAAATGTGGTGATACTTTCCTTGATGACTTTCAAGGAACTCATTAGCTCACATTGCAGGAGAAACCCCCACCATTCCACTGGATACCATCACTGAGCTCAGATATACACTGACTGAAGGACCAAAGTACTGTTTGCAATAGAGAGCAGCCTCTGATTTGTGTTGTAGTAAGAAATGACAATACAAAGTCACAGTGCCCTCCATGTTCTCCCAGACATCGGGAATTTCAGTGCAGTCACAGAAATTTAATTCAGCTCTGCATTCAAATACTGGGAGAAGATTGATTCTGGTCTATTTATCCCTACAGTAGAATAGGTTGCACAAATTCCTGGTGTAATTGTGCGCAGGCTGGGACTTCCTTGTGTTAGAGCAGAGTTAGCTCTTCCAGACAGAGCAAAATCACCTTTTCATAGCATCACCCTAAACCTAAGGGGCTTCGTTAGATAGAAAGTCCACCCAAAAGCAGTGCAAAGTATAGTAATCTAGAGAGTGTCTCTAACAGATGCCGAAGAGTCTGACAACAGAGTTACTCAGCTATAGGTTTTCCTGAACTAAAACCAGTCATTCTCACCTCTCTTTCCTCTGCTTCCCTGGCCAATAGTGTAGGTAAAGGAAAAGTCTGTAACTTGATTTTGGTGACAGTCCTCCTGCACTATTTCTTTAGTCAGCACTGAAAATACTAATCTGTGGCTGGGTTGGATGTTGCAGTGAAACGTGCCTTTGGTACTGCATACCTGCCTCTTGGAGCACCAGACAAAGGGGTACCATTGTCCCTTTCCCTTGCTTTTGTTGGTCTGCCAGGCTGTGAGGAGTTGTGGAGGTATCTGGGACAAGGTTGATTATTTGGGTGGGAGCCTAAAGAAGGCCAAGATGTGTCTGTGGCACAAGAACTCACACTCTCTACCTCAGTCCTAATGGCTGTGCCCTTTGGATCCCCTCCCTGGCTACTGCTTGGCTCTATTTCCACCCTTGGCTCTTTCTTCCATACTTTGCATTCTTCTGTATATAGAAGTAGTGCAAAATTGCTGCTGTTCTGCTAGTTATCTGAACTCCAGTCCGCAGCCTTTTGGACTATGAACATACAATCATGCAGGGCTTTTTGACATCAGCATGTTTCCATTCCCTTGAGATCCTATAAGCTTCCCTAAGAGTCATGCTGAACCACAGAGGCCTTTCTGTACCAGTCTTTCACAAAGTTGCTCTCTAAAACATAAATCATTTGATTTGGTTTCCTTGTGTTTTTTGGATCTTCCTTCTGTGCTTCCTATAATACAGTGACCAGATTTGTACACATTATTCCAAAAGAGACCATCCAGCTGCCTAACGGAATGCCAAAGTAATAACGTCTGTGGTTTATACACTGCAGCCTTCCATACACAACCCAAACCCCTTGTTTGTCTTTGTTACTGCTGCCAGATGTTCTGCGGATGGTTTTCAGGCGTATTGTGGTGAATGACACCATGCCAGTGAATTTCAGCAAATTTAAGCAACTTTGAAATGAGTCCTTTTTCCACATGGTTATATTCAAGTCAAACCAAAGCGTGTTCTCACTTGAAACTGCCCTGGTTTGGTCACCCCTTTTTCACACTGAATCACTACCTGTTAGTTTCTCTGCAGGAGTCTCTTCAGTAGGATTTCCCCTTTATCAGGCCTCTTTCTGATAGTCTTTGCTAGAAACTCCATGGGAAGAGCCCAGCTCTGAGGGTCTAGGGAGCAGTTATATTGTAATTAGTATCTAGTCTACTTGAACTGAGAGTAGAAGGGAGTATGTGGGGTTTTTTTTCCTAGAGAGGAAGCAAGGGGAGGGAACAGCCTGTAAAAGAATGACAATGTTCTCACCTCTCTTTTCCTGCAGATTTGCTGACAGCACAGGAATACCACTGCCTGCTGCAGCTGCTCTGCCCTGACTTCCCAATGGAACTCACACAGAAAGCAGCAAGGTGGGTCCTCAGCCTTCCTTCTCAGGCAAGATCTGACTTAAAAACTAAATCTGTGCATAAAGGTATGGACAGGAACCTTCAGCTTTTAAGATTTTGGGGAAAAGAGATACCATGTTCTGAGGTTAAGAACAGGGTGTTTTTCTAA